GATTAAAATAACCAGGGAAACAGCCACGGGCTTCTGCTGGCCAAAGACTTGCTGGGAGCCTTAGTGGCCCCACCATATGGGCAGCCCAAGCTGCCTTGAACAGGCACAGAAGCCTCATTAACAGATTAAACGGTGCCTCCTTCCCTCCCCACTCTGGGATCAGCCCTCGAGGCACTTAGTTAGCTCCTTTCTAAAACTGCTATTCGGCAATCACACAGCGGATCCCTCAGGGCAGAACACTTGGCAGGGAGTCATCTGGGAATGTTTCTTACCTTCGGCTGCTTTTGTCCTACATCACTTTACACCTGCAAAGGCCTCCACCCATCCCTTGTTAGCTTTATCTGTTTCCCAGATGCCACTGCCCAGGTTCCTTCCCTGCCCAGCTGATCCAAGTCTTTTCTCCATGAACTTCCCAAAAAACCTGCTTCCATGCCAGCACCCTGCAGTTCTAACCCTTGACCTTTATCAGGAGTCCCTCACAGTTAACTACAGTCCCAGTAATTAGCTGTTGGAAGCCCAACACTCACGGTGGGTGGACGTGGCACGGAGGTGATGGGCTGAGCACTGGCAGGGGGGTTGGACGCTGATGAGGGAGGGGGTGGCTGGGGGATCTCGTTGGGTTTGCTGGGCCCAATTTTCTCCTTGCTGTCATCCTCTGGCACCAGGCCCTTGGCCTTGTGGATGGCCTCGATTTGCTCTTGGAGAGTGATGTTGGCCTGAGCAGCCTGTTGTGTACGAGCCATGCTGCCTGAGTGGCCATCCCAGGTCACCTGAGGGGGGAAGATAGATCAGAACAGCTCCAGTCTGGCCAGATGGCAAAGAAATCAAGAGAGTAGCTCAACAGCAAGAACTCTGAGCAATCACATTACTAAAAATCCCAGTTTCTACTCTACCTTTTCCTCTGGTTTCTGGATCTCCTCTTCACCAATCTTTTTACCAATGGCAGTCTCTTCCACACCGAAGATGTCAGTACGGCGTTCAGCCAGCTGCTTCAGGCTGCTCTCAATATCCAAACCTGAGAGCAATCAACAGGAATTCTTAGCTCAAGGGATATAATCAAACATAATCAAACCTCTCTTACTGATCTTTCAATTCTTTGGTACCTAATGGCTAAGTGCTGCTGTTTTTACACAACATTCTGAGTTGGAAGGGACCCATAAGGAACATCAAAGTCCAACTCGTGGCCCTTCTTTCTAGAAAACATTGGTCCTCAGCAGCTAATTCTTTTTAGTTTTAACTTTATAGAAGGCTTCAAGGTACTAAAGACAAATGGATCCACCTAACCAGCACAGCAAGGACATCACACAGAGCTACATTTCAGATGGTCCTTATCAGTGGGGCCTGGGGGCTCCCAGACCTGAGCCAGCAAACCATGTCCATCAAAGCTTATCTGACCTGGGGCATAGACCTCATCATCACTCTGCTTCTCCCGGATGGATCGGTCGCGCTGCTCCAGCCACCGTGGATCCAGGAGGCCAATCCGCATGTGCTCCTGCATCTTGCTGGCAGGAATTTTCTCTCCAGTGATGGGAGACACAAGGTACTCATCCGGAGCTGGGGCGGGTGGCAATGGTTTTGAGGCTGGGAAGACAAAACCACAGTGTTGCTGCTGTCTAGAAACAAATGGTTTGATTGCTCAGGAAGAAATAAAGGCGTTTTTTTCCCCCTACTCTGATTTACCTTTAGGATCATAATCTTTCCGCACAATGACCTGATCTGGCGTGGGAGGAAGAGGTGGTGGCATTGGGGTTTCTGGAGGAGGAGGAACCTTCTGACCTTCATCTTCATCATCTGAGCCCTTATTTAAAAGGAAAAAACATTGTAATCAAAATCATAACCAATTCCAGTAGTCAAATACCCACAGGCAGGATTTGGGAGAGGCATCAAATCCTACGCAGCTCTGGAAGGATGGAATGTGCAGCTCCAAAGCAACGGAGCTATTTTGGCTCTGGACACCTATGGCACAGTGGTTCCTCTGGATAACCATGATTCAGAAATTGAGCAGACCCAGAAGAGGAAGCAAATACCCCTCAGCTTCCACATTACAACAGCCTGGCAAGCAGAGGCTGATGGTTAACCACACGCTTGTTCCCTGTTATCAGAAAAACAGCTTACAGTGGGCAGAGTCTAAAATGAGTCATCTGTCAGTACTCCAGGCTCTGGGCAGATGAAAATCCAAAGGTTTGATCACAGAAATATAAAACCCACACCATTGGGTGATAAAATTACTTGATTTCTCTCTTGGAACTTGTATTGTCATGGAAAACATTAAAAATACAGTATTTCAGCAGAAACTGTTTGTTTGGAGGAAAATCTCACTTCCTCCAGAAACTGAAGACCTTCTTACGGTGACAGTGAAAAGCATCATAAACCACAGAAACTTTAGGTGACAGAAGCATTGCCCAGTTACCTCATCCATATCCTGCACTTGTGTGTCCTGATCCAGCTGGACTGGGGGCTCATCTGTTTTCTCTTGCTTTTCATCTTCCTCGTCTGACTCCACCTCCATCTCCACCTCCTCACTTTCCCCAAACTTCTCATAGCGCTCCTGGATCAGGATTCGAGCTCCCAACTCTTCTGGAGTGGTGGGAGGAGGGAAATTCCCTACAAGGCAGAAAACAGAGCTTCTGTTTCTCTATCCCATTTTGTTGCTCAATGCACACACAGAAATAACAGTTCTTGACTGAAAAGCAGTGGCACAAAAACCCCTGGGAGCCAAGGGATACAGAAGGGAATGGATGGAGTCTACACAGACCAACGCCCACATGGCACGTGAAGATGAAAGGACTTTTAGGTGGAAGCACTAGTAGAAAGCAGGACAAGCTCTGCTGCCCTGGTGGAAGAGGAGAAGTAGACACTAGTGCAGTCCCAGGCTTCCTTCAAGGAGAACATTACTGACTCCAGAACAAACAACAGCCCTGGAGACTGTCACTGGGAGGTTTTCCCCTTCATCTCTAAGGATAAAAAGCTGTAAAACCCAATGTCTGTCTAAAAATGGCATTTCAGGACACATCCCCTACTCAAAGGGAGCAGTTTCATAGAGGTTACAATGCTTGATGTCCATACCTTGCTCACTGGGCTGGAAGTCAACTGTTTCCACAACCACAAAGTCATGCCAGTCAATCTGGGCATAGGCAACCCGCTCCTTCTCCTTCTCCTCCTCTTCCTTCTTCCTCTCTCGCTCCTGGAACTTGGCCCACTCCACTCTGTAATACACCTGCATGGGCAGACATAACACAGTGTCAGACAAGAAACATCACAGTCACCTCACTAGTGAAATGAAGAACAGCTGGAGCTGTGTCAGGGGAGGGTTAGGTTGCATATCAGGCAAAGGTTCTTCCCCCAGAAGGTGTTTGGGCACTGGAACAGCTCCCCAGGGCAGTGGTCACAGCCCCAAGCCTGACAGAGCTCAGGGAGTGTTTGGCCAATGCTATCGGGCACAGGGTGGGATATTGGGGTATCCTGTGCAGGGCAGCAGTTGGACTGGATGATCCTGGTGGATCCCTTCCAGCTCAGGGCATTCCATGATTCTCTTTGTCAGCACTTAGAAATGGGGTTGTACAGCACCTACACCTCTGTGGTGCCACAAACTGCCCCAAACCAAACTCCAGCTGTAGTTTAACAGCAAATTTCAGCCCCCTGTACCCAAGTGACAGCAAGTGATACATCTACTTTATACTCTGTATATTTGTATTTGCTGCCAATAAGCTACAAACATGCAAGGAGAAAAAATTCAAAGCATAACTGAAGCACTTCAGCAATTTTGCATTTTTTCCCTGAATACCTGATCTAGGACTTCCTTGGGGTTTTCAGCCTCTTTCTTGAGCTTGAGGAGTAAGCCCTTCGGTGGGATCAGGATCTGAAACATATTTTGCATGACAGTTGGTGACAATTCATTTTGCCAAAGCTTTGTTCAAAGCAATTATTCTCTTTCCACACAGCTAAAAATATCATCAGCCCCCTGGGGCCATGTCCCATTTACTCTGCTGCAGCTCTCTCATTACTTACTGCTCAGCCCTGCACTTAAACATAGTCACTCCTGGCCTTCCAATTATACTTCATATTTAAAAACTCACAATTTTTACTTATATTACAATGGTCTCTGGTACATATAAGTGACAGCCTATTGTGTCAGCATAGCATCCACTTTAAAGATGGGATTTAAAGGACAGGTCTACATGATTGTACATGGTTTAAAGGATGGAGCAATGGGGAAAAATTGCTAGAGGGAAATTGAGACGAGATGTTAGGCAGAAGTTTTCCCTGTAGACACTGGCACAGGTTGCCCAGGGAGGCTGGGCTGTGGCTAACCTTGGCAGTGTTCAAAGCCAGGTTGAAGAAAGCCTTGAGCAACCTGTTCTGGTGGGAGGTGTCCCTGCTCAGGGCAGGGGGTTGGGGCTGGATGATCTCTAAGCTCCATTACAACCCCTTAACATTCCATGCTGATTCTGTAACTGCCAGGAGTACCTTTGTGTACTGCTCCACCAGCTTGGTGAAGTAGTTGAAGAGACTGTGCTGGGGACGAAGGAAATCAAACTGGTAGTTCCTAGCAACCTGTTCTGGTGGGAGGTGTCCCTGCTCAGGGCAGGGGGTTGGGGCTGGATGATCTCTAAGCTCCATTACAACCCCTTAACATTCCATGCTGATTCTGTAACTGCCAGGAGTACCTTTGTGTACTGCTCCACCAGCTTGGTGAAGTAGTTGAAGAGACTGTGCTGGGGACGAAGGAAATCAAACTGGTAGTTCCTCTGCTCCTTCTGCATGAGCTGAGTGAGGAACTGGCGCCCGTTGCGAGCCACAAACTGTGCCGTGAGCTTCACCACGTCCAGGTCGAAGGCCGAGATGGACGGAGGGTCCGCGATGAACTCGAACTCTGGCGGCGGCTCCTTGGGAACCACCGTCTCCTGGATCACCTGGGCCTGCACCTGGAGAGAATGGACACACTCAGTGACCTCCTCTGGGTCACCTGGGCCTGCACCTGGAGAGAACACACACTCAGTGACCTCCTCTGGGTCACCTGGGCCTGCACCTGGAGAGAACACACAGCTCAGTGACTTCCCTCAAGGAACCACTACCAAACACTCAAGAGAACTCATTTTTCCTCCAGCTGCTGTGGGAAACATTGGCCTAGACAGCTGCACAGAGGAGAAAAATCAGGACCACAGGGTCTATCTGGCCACATGGGTTTACACTCAGTATACTATCAACACCACAGAGTGGGGCTGTTGGCCATGCCAAGCCTTGGATTCAGTCCATACCCTTTTCCCACCCAGCACATACAAACACACAGCTGAACAGGATGAGCTGTTTTGTACTCCATGTTTTAAGGGGAAGTTGATGCTTCTGGCAGGAAATGTTTCTATAAAACATGCATGCAACAAGCCCAAACTGGACTCCAAGGTATTCTGAAGACTCTGGCAAGAGGCCTAAGCACATTCAGTCCGAGCGACTGCTAGTGTCAGTACTGGATCAGTCCATATACAGCTAAATGGAATTAAAATGGACCAATTAAACTATATATTGGCTCATTCACACACACCCTGAGTCACCTGCACCTGGGAAATGCACAGCTGCATCAAAACAAAGCCCCAAATGCTAACTCCAAGCCTCTCAGCGTTGTCTTGTTGGCTAATATACATTGGCTGCCTCCTTATTCTCGACTTCCAGGCCTCCTGCTTAACCCCAGGCTGTGACACTAACCCTCAGCAGCCAAGTTCTCCAGGAAAGTGATGCCAGGAACACTTACCTTCTGTGGGAGCTGCTGCTGGGCACTCTGCTGCTGCTGCATGACCTTGGGGATGGCAGCTGAGGGCTCCTGGGCTTTGCCCTCTTTGAACTCGCTGACCTTGTGCCGGTAGTAGGCATGGTAAGGGTCGTTGGGGTTCAAGAAGTTGAATTTTGGGTTGTTTATTTCATTCTGGCGAATTCGGGCTTCAAACTCTGGACCATTTCTGGGGAAAAGAAAGACAAATTGTGGCAATGAATGGACATCAGCTCAGAGTGAGATGTGCTGAAGCATCAGCCCCTTGCAGACCATGGAAGGAGTTCAGCTCTCAGGATCTCACACCCAACTGTACCCACACAAGTTAAAGGCATTTGTCGGTGAATATTCCTTAAGAACAGTTAAAACTCACACTCACACTGTTCCACAATCCCACCTGGCTGCACACAAAGGCCATTCCCTGGACTAACAGTTTATTCCCTAGACTGACAGTTTCCTGACTGAAGTCTACAAGTTACTTACTAAACCAATTTGATTTGCTCTATTAACAAGCTTTTGAGACTAACTTCAGTTCCAAAAAGCTCCTATAAGGAAAAAAAAAAAAGCAGGAAGCCATCAGGCTGTGCAGGGACTGACCACCCTTGAGTGCTGCCCTTAGGAGAGCCCCAAGTTCTAGCCCACGTAACATCCACTCCTCCCCCTCAGAGCAGAAACCACTTACTCCAGGGCACTCTGTGAAGATTCACAGCTGCTACAGTGTGTTTCTCTTCATGCTCCCTGGACACCTCCAGGACTTGTTCAGACACTCCATCTCCACCAAAAGAGGAGGTCTCCACAAGCCCAAAGAACAAACACAGTCTATTCCTTATCCTTAGAGGAAGCCAATGCTCCTTGGCAGCATTTGAGAGATCAGTTAAGTTTGACTGGAGCAGTGTTTGGGAACAGCCACATTTCAGCACTACAGCCATGACTATTGGCTTCAGCCCTCATCAGAGTACCTGTCCCAAGGCTCTCTTTCCACCTGGGATTTGCTTTCCCTTCAGATCAACTGGAACAGGACCTATGCCCTGGTTATTTCATATTTTAATATGAATTTTATTTATTTACTCCCAGCTTTTCTAGCAAAGTCAAATATTGGTGTTTCTTTTCTAGTCTCACTGGTAAAAGACCCAATCCTTAAAATCCTTCATGCAAAACCAGGTGACTGTGCCCTGCTTCAGCCTCTGGAGCTGCACTGGAGAGGAGCAGCAGGAACATCCCAGGAAACACAGCTCCCACCGTATCACTCACCTGGCTACAAAGCTGGCAGTCTTGTCCACAATATTCCTGACCTCTGGAGGAGGGTAAATAATTCCCACCACAGGCTTGGCTGGTGCTGCTTCCTCTTTAGGCTCCTCTTCAGGCTGTAATAAAAATCAATATACACAATGAGAGAGTGCTCTGTGGTGCTGCTGCCTCCCAACGAGCCAAAACTGAAGGGGGTTGGAATTAGGCATTCCAAACAGCAATCCCAATGGCACATAGGACCATCTGTCCTCCTCCTCAGCACTCCAGATCCCTGGAATTCTTCCTGACACAAACAGCTTGGGTTGAACAGTCTGAATCATCCATCCCTCTAACTAATTCCTTGGCTGCTGAGGGTGGGAGAGTGTTTGTCTGCCTGTCAGGGGCACCAGGGACAGCAGGACAAGGAAGGCTCCTCCATGCCAAATAATTCCTCTGGGAATTTCTACCACCTCAGCCTTGACCCCAAGTAGGTTTATAAAGAAGAAAATTGTATATATATACACAATTAAATATGCTATTTATAGCAATATATTAATACTTCTCTTATACGCCTATAAAAACACATCCTGAAATATCTGAGTACTCCTAACCAGATCTGGGAGTTCTGAACTAGAGGCCTGTGGGACTACAAGGAAGTAGAAGCTGAATGATTAACTCCACATGAAACAAAACACAGCTTTGAATCCCATTGTGGCTGCAGCAGAATTTCTTTCCTGCAGAAAGGGTCTGCAAGGTGTCTGTCCCACTGAGATTACAGGAGGATCCAAACTAAAATCCCAGAGCTCTCTCTGTAGATGGTTTTGTCTCCCAGCAAAACTGGGAGCTGCCTCATGCAGGACACAAAAG